CGACGTATGCACATTCGTTTCATTAAAAACTGAGTTATTCGGCCTTGTTTTCTCTCAGACATCAGGCCCGTAGCAACACGTTCTGCAGAAGAACCCACAGCAGATGAATTTGAGTTGATCGACATGAATTCAGCTGCCAGTAAAACGTCTCACAAGAGATGCGGGACTCAACTTTAACATAGCTTCTATTAAATCAATCTACAGCGTGCTCGCTGAGCGTACGCGACAAAGCTACATTCTACTAGGATCAGCGCAGCGTTTTACATAATTAATTTTCTATATTCATGTCCTGATCCAGCGGGAGTTGCGTAACGCATGTGATGTGCAGGTCCATGTTTGCCAGCTCTATTAATGGCAGACATTTGAAGCCGGTGCTTTTATAATGGATATGATGGCCTACCTTATGGAAACTTGTGAAAAATTAATATCTCCTGCTGCCGCTGAGAGGGCATGTGAAACAAAAGAATCAAAAGTGGCGGGGTCAACATTTTAACGAACAGGTATCACCATGATGACTGACATTAAGGCAATTTGTACTGACATCTGAATTTTGGATGAAGCCAGGTTCAAAATTCTTGCTTCATGTTGTTGACGTATTAGAGTCAAACGTTTTCCACAGAGGGGATTTGGGATATTTCAACTTTTGTTGACTTTAGGAGAAATCTACAGACACAAAATGATTTAAACATTACAGCCTTGTGCTGTATGTTGACACCAAACACTAGTGGAAATCAGTTAAAAACGTTGTACACCTGGTAAAATATTCCAGGTATTTTTTATTGACTTTCTAGTAAAACCAGAAACACTTTTTTGACACTATTAAACGATATATTTTGACACTATTCAAGCATTCCCACAATAACCTGCAGCGTTACACACACAGCCAACACCAAACCACAGCAAAGTGAATCCCTCTGCAGTCACAGGGATTATTTCTTCTAATCTCCATCTATGTTTACAATAGAGTGCATCTCACAACAGACTCTCCGCTGTGGGAACATCACAGGATTAATCATAATTTCATGTCCTGTAGCACGTCAGTTTTAAACAGCGATACACCAACTACGGTGTTATCTGACGCTCTGAGCACAATCATGACCATCTGACATGCGACTGAGAGAGAGTTTGGATTCTTGCAGCCTGACGAGAAGAAGAAGAAGAAGAAGAAGAAGAAGAAGAAGAAGAAGAAGGGATCCAGTGTGAATGAGGGCAGGAAGGAAAAGGGACAATCAAGAGGTTTGGCAGCTGCAATAGTGACTCTTCCAAGAAAGCCAGGAGTGTTCTTATTGGCTTAGTTGTGTCATCCAGGATCCTGTCAGGGTTTTCTCCACCGTAAACACTCCCACTACGGAGATGAACCGCTGCTCATCTGCTGGAACTAACAATTAAGAAATCCATAATGGCAATGCTGTCATCCGCCATCTTTTAATGCAACATTCAATGCTGTGAGATGTGAGAGCTTGGACCAATACACTGATGGTATCTGACCAGTTGGGTTTTACTTATGGTGGTTGTGTTTAGTTTAGTAAAGATGGGTACCTTTCACACATAAACAAAATAATACATTTGTGACATAACCGGTGTTAGTGACTGGCCAAGCATTTTACTTCAGTCTCACTGCTAGTTGTTGAGACGTCTCTCTGGACTAGAGCAGTGTTTGATGGGAATCAGCACAAAGATACAAAAGAGACAGATTAGATGAACAAGAAACCAGTGGCTTGCTGGATTTATTTCTGAGAGATCCGTGAAGAACGTGACAACCAGCTGCACTGCTGCTATTCTGTACACCGGGAGTTGAGGGTGGACACTTTACCGATAACACTCAAAGGGATAGTTTGGGTCTTGTGAAGTGTAGTTGCATGAGGTACTTTATCTATAGTGTGTGAGTAGATGGCTGTCGGCACGCCCCCAGTTTGGAGGAGCAGACATGAGCACCTGTACGCCAGCAAAGCAATGTACTGCAGTGGACAGGGACATCAGCCAAACATATTTCAGACACCTAAAACAAGGCCAACTTTAAAAAAATCAATGCAGTTTACATCTACGCTATATGTAGAATATTTCTGCCAGGTTACTTTGCCATGGGATAGCTATAAAGTATATGTTTCCAACAGGAAATTGGAGCTGGTATCTATGCTTTCTTAGATCTCTCTCGTTACCTATCAAAAAGAAACGTTTGGCGAGAGCATAGATGGATACAATGGCTTCAGTTCCCTGTCGGAAACAGCTGTTTCAATGGCAAAGAAAACTGGAAAACGATATTCCTTTACATAAATATACTGCAAAAGAACGTGTTATGTTGCCTTTGTTCTTTTATGTCACATTTTCTTTATTAAGCTGAAAAATAACTGCATTGTATTTCAGCTATTAAAAACATGAAAGGTGACTAAAGATGTCAACCGTATTTTAAGTTTCAGCAACCACAAGCTGTTGTCGCCGGCCGAGCAGCCACTTTTAACACTCAGCGTCGAGCCCTGAACATAATTTCCACGTTCGACTCGTCGACTCAGCACAGTTCTGCCTCTCACGTATGGAGCATAAATGATCCAAAAGGCAGACGACAGCTGTGAAGACGGTTCTTATGGCTGAAGAGCAGCAGCCTCACACCACAGAGTGGGGTGATCCCAGGGTTATCGGTTTTAAGAGAGTTCACGCCCCTCTCCTCAGACTGGCTGAGAGGGACGAGCCCTATGTAGCTCCTGATAATAACAAAGATGGCAGCTGGGCTGGATAATACGTGTCAGCCCAGATTAGCCGGGGCTTTTGTTCGACTCCTACGACGTGTTCAGCTACACGCACAGCCATGACCGTGAGTGTTTTGGGCCCAAAAAACAAACCTTGTCGAAATTTAGTATCCAGCAAGAGAAACACTGCCCAGCACAAACAGTTCCAATGCATTGTACTGCTGCGTGTAGGTGAGCCTCCCCGAGTGTGGAACAGTTCTTCTGACCGTCCAAACAGAGCCGAGGGTTGAAGCAATGGCAGCGCTCCCAGAGTGTACTGGAGCTAAGTCATCGCTCCGCAGACCGCCCAGTATTTTATACCTCAGACGAGCCGGATTCACGCCGTTTACATGCAACAACAATGGCTGACCACGGAGACGGCCCCGGAGCATCGGGCCCCCTCGGGGTCCGCAGAGCGTTCCCCTCCGCGGAGCTGCAAGAGCCCTGAGCTCCTTAATTACTTAGAGACCGTCCAGGAAGTAGGCTAATGCAGTTCGACAAGAGGGCTTGTCTATAGGCTACACTTTGACCTATTGGTGCTGAAATCCATTATCAATAATTTACTCTGACAGGACGAGTAGCCGGCGAATTATTCCATATGTTATTCTAAATTTCTAAATACAGTAAAAATAGAAAGTGGGCTTCATTTTGTTTCCTCAGGGCATCAGAAGCCTCTACGTATACACAGCATGTGAACCCAGCAGTCACACAACACACATCCGCCCAAAAAGACACGCGTCACCGGCGCTGTATCCTGTCCGTCTCACCCCAAACTGCCATCTCAAAAAAGCCGCTGCCTTAAACAAACATTGCTCTACCTCCATTTCATAAATTCTTTAAACTCCGGGGTTTCTCTCAATTATTCATGCTCCACAAGAGCATCCGACGGCCGCATTGCAGCATTCTCCGTGAAAGATCACCGCCTAAAATAACAATGGCTTCCCTCTGCATGGTAGAGACGACCGTACAACGGCCATCCGTTGGCATGCAGCTCTCTCTTTCTCGATGCCGCACAAACACACACATGCACAGACGTGGGTCTTTATGAAATATTGAGGGGCCCTTCTCTGGGATGAAAACATCTGAATAAGGCGGCGGCTGGTCGCCACATCTCTGGTTTAATGAGGCGAGCCGTGAGATGTGGGGGAAACAAATACAGAGCGAGCGGCTCGGCTGTTGTGACATTCTCGTAATGGTCGAAGGGACCAAAGCAACAACTGAAGGCATTTGCGAGCAGCCGCTTCCCTTCACGTTTTGAATTTTTGAACATCGTATGCATGCGTTTGTTTACACTACCCGTCCACACTCTCATTTAACGTCATTATTTCCAGCTTTGTATCTGTAATCTCTGCTCGTCCAGCGCTTCCTGTCCCACCTGACTCTGCTGAAGATAAGAAGCGGACGTGATCACCACGTGACGTCACCCATTGGTTTGTGGACTGACGTTTTGAAGGCTTGAGTTTGGCATTTTGGCCGTCGCCATCTTGTTTTTTCATCTTGAAAAATTACAGTTAACTTTCTTGAATTGAAAACACACTGTAAAAGGGTTAAAGTTGTAAGACGAAGACATGGACGACTCCCAGACCGGTGGTAACGACCTGTCAATCACCGTGTAGCCCCGCCCTAAAGCATCCCCTGCTTTATGGTCTGTGTGACTCTAAATGGACCATAATGTACTAAATGAACATCATGCTGTATTGAAGAAGACTTGAAACTAGAGATTGAGACCATAAACTCATGTTTACAATGTTTACTGAGGTAATAAATCAAGAGAGAAGTAGAGTCATTGTCTCATAGACTTCTATACAATTATAATTATTAATTTAAGTGATTATGTGATAAGGTTCATTAAGATGTGACAAGGTTCATTAGAATGAAAGAAGACAACTGTGGGATTGCCATAACATGTATTTTTTTCACTTATGATGGAGCTTGGCTAGCAGTTTCCACTTGCTTTCAGTCTTTGTGCTAAGCTAGGCTAAACCCATCGCAGACCTCTCTCTGTGTGCTGGACACATACAGTAGCTCATTAATTTGATATCGATCTTCTCTGAGTTTCATGGCACACGAGACGATTTCCCAAAACTGTCCAACTAATTGGAAACAGGTTTATGTGACAGATGCGATCAATGCGTCCATGTGACTGCTCTTATGCAAAAGGACTCAACCGAATAGCAAAACACATCAATAAGAGAAAATCCAACTGCATGATGAATGATATGAAGTGACACAGCCATTCCTGTTGTACGCACAGCAGTAAAGATTAATTAGATTTACCAGAGAAGAAGTTCTTGGCCCGCAGGTAGCTGACACTCAGGCGGAGGATGGAGAGTTTGTCCAGACTGGTGGTGACCTCCTCGGGGAACGGCAGCAGGCTGGCCAACCGCTCCAGCTCCCCGTTCAACCGGTCTCGGTGCCGTTTGGACGGGTTGGACTTGGCCCCTTCAGTCGGTGCCTGCTTCACCCTGACGGACGTGATAAACGGAGAAAGAGGTCACAATAAAATCAGTAAATCATAAATCAGTAGGCACCAACAGAGGATTGGTTTGCCTTGCTTTCATTGTGGCGCCGGGAGGACATTTTGGGTCAAAACAAATGTCTCCTACAAAAGTCGGCAGAACCGGAGTTTTTCCTCGAAACTTAATTGACCATACAGTTTTGTTTTATGGGAATGTCATTTTTAGGAGACTAGGCTGAATATTTTGGGGGTAAAGGGACAAATATAATATAGAATATTTTTGATGGGGAGAAACAGGCAATGTGAAATAACCTTAATTCATATAGAGTGCTGCAGGGATGACATATTGTTGTCGGCCAAATTAGCATTCCTTCCACAAATGGATTTTGGATTATTGCAGAAAATAATCTCTGTGGCAAACAAACGTTTATGATACTTAACACATTTTGTTCAGCAAGATAATCTTCAAACATAAACACCACTTTTATGATGTTTTAAAGCCTGAATAAAATGTTCAGGAGTACAAAGCTAACGTTAGGCTGTAAAGGAACTCCACCACGGTCACATGGCTTCACCACCACTAAGCTGAAGGAGGACTAGTGTTAGTGAGGACGTTTAGTCGTCTCATTTAGACTCTCCTTAGCAACCGCCTTTATTTTAAGACACTTAAACGCTTCTAAATTCACCAGAGAGGTATTTACTGACCTCTTCTATATCGTAGAACTAAACATTAAAGTCTCTTGAGCTTGTGTTAACCACAGACCTTATTTCAGGCGTCTAACCAAAAACAGATTGAAGAAATGTATTGACTTCGAGACGAGGGAAGTGGATCTGCAAAAACGCTGACTCATTTCTGGGTGTTAGGACTCGTTCCAGCTGCACTCTGTTTGATCAGCGTTTCCCAGTCTGACCGGAGTTCCCGAGCAGCGATTGGCTGTTTTAGAGACTCCTCGGCTCTGATTGGGTGTCTTTTATTGCAAATAAGGAGCAATAAAAGGAGGCTTTTTGACAGACTATCCGTCTCTAATGTCACAATATAAATACAGTTTGAACTAATGTGACAAAAAGATATTTCCATTAAAGTTACCGAATGTAGCTTAAAGTGAACCACAGACCTGGACAAAACCCCAGCTCAAACTCAACAACAAACATTTGATCATTTGATGACGTGTAGCAGTGATTAGAGATGCACTGATCGATCGGCAGCGGATTGAAACCGTCGTTCTTTGGTGAGAAACTTGAATTAATACAGTGGTTTGAAGGAACTTAAATAAATATTAGAGAAGGAATTATGACCTGTTCAACTTCTTAACACTAGCCAATTGCAACTTATATAATTAAAACTATGAATGCCATTATTCTCAAACAATAGAAAAACTGTTTCATTCCCTATTCGTTTGAATTGTGTGTTGTTAAGCAAACAAGTAACGGAAAACATTTAGAACGGTTTACGCTGACTTCATGATGGTGGAAATGATTTTTTTTGGGATGGTGATGGAAAAAGTTAGTCCGCAGCCTCGCTGTCAATTAAAGCTCTAAGTAAGAAAATGTTAATCGGCAGGTCAAACTTTTAAAATAATCAGATCTGGCCAAGAATATTGCAAAAAGTGCATCTCCAGCACTGACTGTGTTCCCAAATGATTTCAGTAAAGTGAGTTCAGACTCTGATCTGTGTTTGATTGGCCAAGTCTCTGCATGTCTATATATTCTTATTATCATTATTGTTGTTTGATAATTACTTTCCATTTATTATCTTTAACATTAAAAGTATTCTACGGTATTTTACCTTTTTTTCAAGTTACTAACCATCATCTACAACAACCACAGGGTTTGAATTGAATTGACAGTTTATAGTCCATAATAAACAGTTCCTCACTGGGTCTGAGATCTCAACATAAACTGGATGAAGAAAAAACATATTTCTGCTGCACAAATTTAGATCTAGTATTTTCTGTTTGTCTTTAATAGTGAACAGCTTCAGCTCCTCTGGGCTGTAAGAAGAGTTGAAGTTCCTGAGTGGAACTGCTCACATCCTCTGGGGACCATGATAATCACATGCTGTATAAACACAGAGGAGGTTGTAATCAGACAAAGATTGGTTTAAATGGGTCACAAGCCAAAGAGGTTGGACTCCACGTGGCAACACACAGATGTGGACCAAACATATTGCTGATTGTGTGTAACCTGCTTCAGTCGATTCTTTGTAAAAAGATCAGACAAGAAGAGAGCCTTCAATGAACCGCAGGGGAGAAAACCAGGTGTTGCAGCACAAAGACCGAAATAAGTACAGAAAAAAATGAAATGAAATGAAAATACGGACCAAATCACAATTTTAACCATATTAAAACCAAATATATTCAGATAATTTAAGCATGTTCTGTTTCTCAACAGAACAGAATGCATTGTTTTGTTGTTGTTTACAAACATTACTAATGTAAAGAAGCATTTAACTGAATCGGAAAATATTAACAAGTTAGATTTAATTGCTGTCTTTTTTATTTTTTCCACAAACATGAACAATATAGCAGCAATATGATCCGACATAGTGTGCAGTTCATGTACCACGACACTCAGACACTGACACATGAACATCTGTTTATACTGTACATAATGGATGTCGGTGTGTTTGACCTGCAGTGCTGGTTAAACACACATGTGTGGATACAACTAGGATAAAAAAATATTGTATCATAATTAATACCTGGATTTTATATATTTTCCCCACTCAGTCTATAAGCTGTCATGTCATTTGATCAAATGTCTTTCATGAATTACCAGAGTACAAAGTCATGTCTCAAAACTGCACGTTTGATCTGATCAACAAACCAAAAATTTAAACGTTGGTCAATCTGGAGATTTCAGCAATATGGCTGCTCAGGTGGCAGACATTATTATTTTATGGATGTTATGAATAAATTGAACCTTGATATGAAAACACACAAAAGAAAAGCAATAATTCTTCAGATTGTGAAAACTGCAACCAGCAAGCAATAAATCCATCAGTTATCAAAGCAGTCACTGATCAGTGTGTGTGTGTGTGTGTGTGTGGGAGAAAAGCCTCGTCATGAACCACACCTCTACACTGACCCTGCTCTGACAACCTGATCCACTGAGTCAAATCTGAGCTTCTCTGTAACCAAAAGGTGCCTCACCATAGTCTGAGTCCATCATGAGTCCGTCTCATCACAAGAGGATTATGGGAATTTTTCATTTGTGCTACTTTTGCAAACACTGAGTCTCTCTCTCTCTGTCTCTTTTTTTTTAGGAATTATCATCAGTTTCTGACATAAAACATTCTCCCAGATTAAAGCATTTTCAATGGAAACCGTCTCACTGCCTGTAACATGTTTCACTCGCAGGATATGAATTACTAATGATAAAATAAATGACTTCATCAGAAGAGCAAAACATGAAGACACAGAGGTGAATCATCCTCCTGTTCGCATGTTGACAGTGCTCACACTTTATAATAAAGTCAAGTTGTTCATATTTAATTTGGATGACCTCATCATCACTGCTGAGGATTTAATCACGATGGAAAAAAAGACGTTTGGGTTTTAAGTCAAAGCCTTAAATCATATGAAAGGCTATTTCTTTCAAATTGCGATTTGTAACATATTAAGCTCAACAAATACATGTTTTTATTAATAAACGACGGATTATTAAATATCCTAAACCAATCAAAAATAACCTGACGACGTTAAAAACAATGTGTCTGATCCTCTGAAGGGCGTTTTGACAGAAAATGGCGCAACAACCTGCATGAGGGTCCCAGTGACTCAGAGACGTTATAACAACTAATTACAAAATAATGCTGAATAACAAAAATGCGTGTGTTCTTTACGTTTATTTGCAGGAGTATTTTTTTCAAATAGCTCTATGAATACAAATCTAAGAGAGAAGCGTTGAAGGTTAAAATCAGGCCGCAGTTGCAGGCCTGCAGTAATCCGCAGGCATTAAAGGAACCCGGCACAACGTTTTATAACGCACAGAAAACCTCCACCTTATTGTTTCCATCACAGAACATCAATAAACAACTCATTAGAACGCATAAATACGCATCACCCAGCAGGTGCATTTACGGTTATTTGCGTGAAGGAGCAAACGAAACCTGGAACAGTTTCTAAATCGATGAAAGAAACTGTTTCTCTAAATGTTCTGGAGAAGAGCTGCAGGCTCGCAGCGGGTTTGTGCATTTAGGAACCAACATCAGAATATTCATGCTCTCCAGGTCGGTTTTTACTGTTTAACACGAGGCTGTTTTCAGTGAATTTAATTGGCATTTACAATAAAATAAATAAATAAACGAACTTACGCTCTCTGGACTGGTTTTCTCCGCTTGCGTCCTGCATACATGACGGCTCCTCTTATATAAGCCTCCGATGAATCCCTCAGAAACACACAGAGCCTCTCTCTGCGCTACATGCGAGCCACCGACAATATTCTGCTATAATCCTCCAGATCAAGACCGGCAACACATTCTTTAAATACAAAAATCAGAGAAAACAAACAAAAAAATAGCCAAACGAAATAAGTTATATGAACAGGACCTCGTTTTGTTCTCTAGGGGCCGATGCACTTCGGAGTTAAATCAAAATGTGCAGGAAAGAAACAAGAGATTGGGCAGAATGCGATCCGCTGAAAAATAAATTAAAAAAGAGAAAGATAAGGAAACAGTTGCGGTCCCATCGGCCCTCACGGAAAGATGAAGTTGTTCCAAGTAGAAAGACGATGTTGAGTTTTCATCCTCATGAAGAAAAAGATGAAATTATCTGAGAGGAGACGCAGTCTGCAGAGGAGCCCTCCTCATCCCCCCTCCGGGTTAGAAATACAACTAAACAATCTTCAAATAAACGCATAGAAAGCTCCAAGTATTTACATTTTATAATCTACATCAGTGCTGCACTCCAATTAGCGCCGGACATGAGCTGCAGAGGAGGAGGAGGGGGGCAGCGAGTGCGCGCATTCCACTGGCGGGCACACCCGACACAGATTTCCGACGGTTGCGAGCACGAGAAGCTTCTTATGAAATTTACAGGACAGGGGCAGGAGGCGACGCGCGCCCACGAGGGAGAGTCTCCTGGAAACACGGGCCGAGCGCGTCCACGCCGGCGCGTTCGCGAGCGGGTCCCGGCGCCCAATCAGCGCTCACAGAGAGAGATGGAGGTTTATGTTGAGCCTGCATTGGCCCGTGCTGAATGTGGGTCAGAGGTTAGACTTTTTAAATAATGTAGCTGAGTTCATTCCAACGTTCGAAGGAAGTCTCTGTGTCTACGAAGAACAACCTGAAAAAACAACGATAATTGATCCGCAATAGAAGATATTAGACAAAGTGACTTTACAATGCAAAGAGTATTATCACCTGATTCAGCTGCTCCTCTTTACTTTGCTGTTTTGGTTCACTCTCAACGCTTTTCAGCCGCAGCTGGTGGCGATTTGTCAGATTCCAAAAAATCTGTAAATAGTCACTTTACACTAACCGCTCAGCAGCAAACAGCAGACGGACACCGTTAGCGACTATCTGGTGAACACAGTGGAGCATTTAGCAGCTAAAGAGACGGATGTTTCCCCTCATGAGGTGGTGGAGACCAAAAACGGAGCCAAAAGAGACAGAATACTGGACTTTACATTCTTCAGGCGGCCACCACGTCCTCAGGAATACTTTTTCTTCTCGAGAAGATCCCCTCGTGTAAATTCTAAGGATTCCATTCATTTGATGATTTAGTCATTTTGACATGTCAGGACAACAAGAGGTTTCATTTTGTTCATCAGTCCCATTGTGCTCGCTGGCTCACAACAGATGCATCGTCAATGTTATTCATTTCACCTGTGCTGATTCTGCTAATTAGCTGCTCAGCTGCAGCACGTTAACCAGCATGTAAACGATGCAGGTGTGGGCCGACTCGGCAGTTGGCCCTTTTCACAGCAGCTATTTGGACATTACCTGCAGGGAAAACACGGGTTAATAACATTATGGCCCCATTCCATTTAGGTGGGTCAGGGCGCTGGTATTGTGCATGCTGCAGCTCACTGGAATCGCTGTGACACACGAAATAACAAAATTAATTTGATCAATGACACCTGTTCTTACCCGGACATGTTCACATGGCTGCTGGCAAAAAGAGCGTGTGCCTTACACTGTATATAAGAAGTGGACGTAGTCATCAGGACGTCACCCATTGGTTTGTGGACGGACATTTTGAACTTGAAACTAGAGATTGAGACCATAAACTCATGTTTACAATGTTTACTGAGGTAATAAATCAAGAGAGAAGTAGAGTCATTTTCTCATAGACTTCTATACAACCAGAGGAGTCGCCCCCTGGTTGACACTAGAGAGAATGCAGCTTTAACACACTTCAGCATTGGCTTCACTCGACAGAACCGGAGGTTGCTTCCTGGGCGTGACACACAGCTGGAATGTTGTGTTCCTTTTGTGTTTATGAGTTGTACTTATTGATGATCAAACTTTCTTCCCTTCAACGTTTGTGTAGCGCCTGGCAAAGGCTCCGTTTTAACCGCAAACCTTACTGACATCACATGTGTATTTATCTTGAATTTGTCAATTTATAATATATATACTGTACATATATATATATATATATATATATATAGATATACCACTATAGTTATGAAAACTGTCATAGTCGTCCAACAAAGATCATGAAATGCAGCGGTGTGACAAAGCAATGGACAGCTGATGCAGCTGTTCCATAGGTCGTATTTAATTTAAGTCTCTTTAAAATGACGGCTCCGAGGACGTCTCATTGGTAATTGCTCGCTGCCTCGACTCCTCTCTCCTCGAGTCTCCTCCGCTCGCATCTCCTGTGGGCGGGACAAAGACGCTAGGAGAGAAGGCGAGGAAAGGAATCGAGGATTTACAAAACTGGGAAATGAGAAAGGCCCACTATCGGCCCATTGGTTTGTAAATTGCAGCATTTGTTTGTTTATTTTTTCGTTGGTTCAGCCTGCTGTCAATCAAACACAGACACCAACACACACATGAGAGCAAAATGTGAATTTTCTAATATCAAATACCTGTTTTAGACAATCATTTTGACTGCAAAGTGATGATATGTTAGACCTAAAATTAGAATGTCGTCTAAAGTTATGTTTACTTATTTAATTAAACAAGGACATATTCAAGAATATCACTTCTTTGATAAGAATGTGATCAAGTGTTCAGTCAGTTCAGATTGTATTGTCATTTATTTTCTAACCCTTTTAATCCAGTAAATCTCCGGCATTGAAGAGAAGGCACTGAAACAGCATTTAAACCTCTTTGATGGGAAATAACTTTTATTACAGGAAATATAATTGAACGGTTTAACAGAATAAATGAAATATGAATAATTCAGATCATTTGCCTCGGGGAGACTTGGACTCACGACTTCAGTCTTATCTTGTCAGACTGTGTGTAAACAGCTGCGGAGGTTTAAACACGACTGTTTTGACAGCAGACAGAGACAGATATGTCGAGTTGTTCGTGCTATATGGAAATACATAGACCTATACATTGAGTCACATGACCACATCAGACCCCCCTCTGGGCACTCAAGACCCCCACAGCACATGGAGAATGAAAACTAGGCCAACATGCTGGGTGTATTGTAGTGTGCTCTATTATCGTTCATCTGTTAAGCATCAGAACTCCCCTGCTCTTCAGGATGACTTATGGTTCTATTTTTGACACTAACTGTCTATTAGTCGGTCAAAGACCTTCGTCCAGGGTGTCAATTGGATATTCAAGGCTCCCAGAGGATTGACTCTTTCATTTTGGACACTACATGGCCTTTTTTTATTACAACTATGCACGAAATTGACCTATAATCTAAAATGTGTTGCCCAGTTTAAAAACAAAGCTGGTGAAAAATACATACAGCTGGGTGACAAATGTAAAGGAAAAAAGCACAACATGAAGCGTCTTAGAATGGAGTCAGGCCACCACGAGCGTCTACAAAAGCTTCAGTGCTCCTCCACAAGATATTCTCTCATTTATATAAAACAACCTTTTATTAAATCAGGTAATATCATTGAGATCAAGATCTGCTTTGTAATAGAGACCCGAGTACAGCAGAAATAAAGAAAACATAGCCAGACATAACAAAAGGCACAGTTACACTATTAGTAACACCGTGCTGCACTCTCCACTCTTTTATTCACGTTCTTCCTTTAATTTGTCCCCCATCTGTAGTTGTTTTATTAAGGATTCAAGGATTCAAAGATCATTTATTGTCATTCTGCAACACAGAGATACACAATGAAATGCAGATGCAGCACATTTGTACCACAACAAACAAAACAAAAAACAGAAACAGCTGTGTATTCCTGTTGTCGTGCATTTATTGAATTTGCATCATTAGGAATGTAAACAACAGCAGCAAAAACAATTCTCTGGTCAGATAATATGGACGATATCTTCACATTAAAAATTCTGTGTGTTTGAGCACCAAGCATCAAGATGTGCACACAGAGTCCAGCTCCTCTGGTCCCATCCACATCAATGACACCACTATGAGAGCACTAGGACTTTGCCCACTGCTTACACGTGTAAGGAGCAACATTGTGCTATGTAATAGTACCGTTAAGAATACACAAATATTATGTTCATAATTCAAATGAAATACTGGTTTTGCCCAAGAAGCATCACAAAAGTGTCTGCTGCTCTCCAGCAAATCAAAATAAGTATTTTGGTGCAGCAGCGACCATCAGATGAGTGCATGTTCATCCCTCTGCACACAGACATTCAGCAAAGCACTTGTTTACGGTAAACTGTCATACATACGCTTCCTTTGACTTTGAATTGTGTATATTTTTCTGTTTTATGCGCCTGTACACACCACTGCAGAAATCCGTTGGCACTTGCCCTTCATGCTTCCAGGAGCTTGTGTGTTTGTTTAGACACTCGTGTGTCCCGCGGGACGGCATCGCCACGGCTGTAAATGTGTTTTCATGCTCCGAGCCCAAAAGAGCGAGGAGGGAAGAGAGCTTGTGGTCTTTTTAAGTCTTGTCTGCCAGTCAAGGTTGTCCTGTCGGCCTGTTGGCCGTGTAGCATGGCGGGATTTGCAAGCTAGCAAACTAGCCAGCTGTCCGCTAGCTAGCTAGCTAGCTTGCCACCAGCCCGCTGTAACCATAGACTGTATATAAGAAGATGACGCAGTCATTGTGTCGTCACCCATTGGTGTGTGACAGCTTGAAATGGACCATAATTTACTAAATGAACATCATGCTGTATTGAAGAAGACTTGAAACTAGAGATTGAGACCATAAACTCATGTTTACAATGTTTACTGAGGTAATAAATTAAGAGAGAAGTAGAGTCATTTTCTCATAGACTTCTATACAACCAGAGGAGTCGCCCCCTGCTGGCCAGTAGAGAGAATGCAGGTTTTATGACCCTTCCGCATCGGCTTCACTCGGCACAACATGGCGAAATTAGCAAGCTAGCTAACTAGCTAGCTAGTGGACAGTTAACTCCACGGTACTCAAATGCTACTGTTTACTGTTTACTGTTTACCCAAGCAATATAAAAACAATATACTGTGTGGCATGCAGTCTTTTTTATCAGCAAATAGCACTGCAATCTCCCACTGTGGAGAATGTGGTGAAGCCATGCTTTAGGTTTACTGGCAACTCAGTTCCTCATTATTGTATGTTTAGGACACAAAATAAAAAAACGATATTCCCCTGACCCTTTGTCTGGAGAGTATTCGTATAATATAATGACTTAACTGTTAATATCATTACCTTATTTTTGCAAATAATCATTAATTATTTTTTTTTTCAACATAAATATACAGTATTACCGTCTTAGATATGAGATATCTTGCATGTAACATTGACAATCTGTCAAAAATGGGGCAAATGATACAGCCCTGTATCTATCATTAAAACAAACATGGCAGTACAAACAATCAATCAACCTTTTACGGCCTTACAACAGGGATAGACTATCAAAGAGAAGTGGGATGTCAAATCCTACAACGAGTTGTATATAATAATACATTAGCATGCAGGCTCTTTGTCCACAAACTTTAAATTGTGCCTTTGCAGCGGAAAACTACTGAAGAATGTTTGAGGTTTGTGGCTTTGTAAGTCATCAGTTGAAATGTGGCTTGGGGCCCCTGAGGGGGAAAAGAGGGGCCGGATATTATTTTACAGCTTTAAAGAAAATACAAACCAATAACTTTGGCAAGTGGGTTTTTGGCAGTAAAAAAAAAAGCATTATTATATCTCACTCAGTAACAAAAGAAAAACTACATGTAGAATGAATTAGTACACAGGCCACACATATTTAACTTCCTGTTATCCTGAATAAAACCACAAACACTTCCTGGTTTGAAAGACATAAAGTCGTTTTTTAAGAATATTTATTTCAGTTCTTCAAGAAAAAAAAAGCCATTGAAGAATCCTTCACATTAGTTGACGATAAGAGAATGATGTTGGGAGCATCAAGAACAAACATTTGTTACTGTACAGAAATCACAATGCCTTTGATTTTCTGCACTTTTCCTTCACTTTGTTGTGCTACAAACGTAAAGTGCAATTTAATGTGTGACATAGAAGACCTTGCATTTAAAAAAATAAAAATAACCTGAAAGTTATTTAAACAATGTAAATATCAGAATAAAATAACAAAAAGGATGTCCAAAATGTAGTTTCCAGTACACAGCTTCCACGTCCGACCGTCAGGTTACCACATTAAAGCAGGCCGAGTGTATTTGAAGTGGAAGTTACACAATCTTATACTATGATCCAACTGAGCATCAACCTTGTTTTTGCGGCTATACTGTATGTTTGTATGCCATGTTTGCCCGAGCCAAGAGAACACATTTTATATATATATATATATATATATATATATGCTACTTATAACCTTATTCATATTGTTATATCGATGGAGGTGTGACCAGAGTCATTCAAAGACTTCAGGTTAAATATTAGTGCTGCTTACATGAGACACAGACGGGGGAGAGTGAGCCCTCTGGTGGACAGAACCAGCATTGCTCTCTACAAAATGATGAAAAAGAATCTCTCACCAGTGCTGTGTGCTCCCACTCAAAACCCTCCCTTTTATTCTATTATATTCTTTTTTATTTTCCTGTATTTGGTTTTATTTATCTATTTACCATCATATCTGTATTACACTTGTACACGTTTGCCTTTGGTAATGTTCCTAATGTCATTGTTGTGCTCTTGGTCCGAGCAGAGGTGGGTCATGCTGGGTAATGTCGCTGTGTTTGTATACATGTGCACATGGTTGTATTGAGCAAAACTCCTTAAAATGAAAGTTATAAAAAAGAAGAAAGAAGTTGCCCTTTAACATGGATTTTTATAAACAAATGAGCCAAACACATTTTGAATCACTGCACACATATTTATGAAAAAAGCATTTAACAATAGACAAAGGCTGGTTATTTGTTCAACATATATTATGATATAGATACTATAACTACTTGGCTAAATATAAGTGGATTATAATGACACTGAAATATGGCAAGGCACATGTTAGCATAAAAACATCGACACAGCTGTGAATAACTCATTTGGCTCCTGGGTTTCTTGTCATAGTGGCTACAGTCACGTCTGTATTAAAGTTCAATATCAAAGGTGATGTATCGTCCTGATAGCCTCCACGGACCGAGATCTTCTCCATGATGGTGCTTTCAACACAACGAAGACAAACTAGCAGAAAGGACAGAGCATTACATCTGTGCCCTGACACCTTTACCATTACTCTCTTGAGGATTTCACCATTTTTAAGCATTTCACTGAAAGCTATTTCCAAAAAAACGAAAAGGTCAAATACTGAGTGATTTCCCACAGTGCAGCAGGGATACGATAGAGCTGCCATGGTTTCTCAACTCAGGTTAATCCAAAACCATTCCTTGTAGTGTGGAAATAAAGAGCAGATATAATGGAGCCACAATGAAGAGAAGGAACAAAGTAAATATGGACAGAGTGCATTGTGGGACCTGGTTACTCATCAATGCAAGAAATCTTACCATCTCTACAGAGATAGGTCACGTTAAGTATTTTCCCTTGTTTCCATTGGTGCGGACGTTCTGTGTGATGGAGAGATTCCTCCGAGCCTTGAAATGCACTTAAGGATAAAACCTTTACTTTACAGTAAACACACTGCGTCCCCTATGGACACGGCTTCCCTCATAGTAGTGCAGCTCTAAAGGATGGCCGTAGAAAACAATATGTTACTTTACAAGAAGGCACAGATACATTTACACGAAGATATGTTTTAAGCTGCCCACTCGGTACGAAAGGCACAAGAAAAATGTGTATGTGGTCGTGATGCCATCATATAAATTAATGTTTGGGTTAATACACGTTTTAGGGCGTTCCTATGTAGGACCACAGAAGTCCATCCTTTGAAGTTGTGCATTTGATTTAGAACATACATCACATGCAGTAGATGGATGGGAGGATGCGTCATCTTTACGCCGCTACCTCGGTCAACGTCTTGATTTACTGTCTGGGGTTTTTTAGCATTTTTTTTTTCTCCGTTCGAGGGCAACTTTGCTGCGACAGATGTGACGTTTTTGTTTGACTAAAGAGCACCTGAAGGCACCATCGGTTTTGGTAACTGTTGAAGAGTGTAGAGCGGAGGCCCATGCATCATTCTCAGGAGCCGGCCAATGGAACGGGGTGACGTTATCGACAGCGTGTTGGAGCAATCTTTGAGAAAGCTTTCCCGTAAAACTACCTCACTGTTTGTAGAATAGAGATCATTCAGGCCTCGACTGTGACTCATGGACGTCTTAGACTTTTTTTCTTCTTGCAATCACTGAGCATTCTGTTGAGATGAGTGCATGATTACAGTGCGGCGTGATACGAAGAGTGATTCTATTGACGGACTGATTTCTTAAGGCTCATTGTCACGGGACTTCCAGTTTACTTTAAGTTCCATTACTGAATATAATAAGATGCATCTCAAAACGACCCTCGAGTACACGTCTGTATTAGCAGCAGCGCATTCAAAAGAACTCAACTGCAGCTACGCTTATTTTCAGTTTAAAAAACAACAACACTGAAATGAAAAATAATGCGACAAATTCAAAATGCTGTCATTCCTGGCAGAAGTTTACAGGAAGCAGAGCTGATGAGACAATCAGACGGGCAGTCGTTTCCTGACTGCTCTGCTTATTGCGGACATGTTTGCCGTCGGTCTTACGTTTATGTGTTTGACAAACCTCTGCAGCGTTTCTCCACTAAAGCACACTGAACCTGCTGTACACGTGAGAGGGTGTGTGAGCCAGAGCGAGGCTCTTTTGGTGAAACGAATACTACCGTTTGGATTACAGATTGTATTTACATCAACCACATCTAAGAGTTTTCATTAAAAACATACAGATTATTTTATCTGTAATAACATTGAGTTGACGTTACAGCTGTGCTTTCAGGTCGCTGTCACTTTAAGTGATTTATTTTCACTGTTTCTTTTACAAAGATGATGACGACATCTTTGAGAAAAGGTCATCATCAACGTTTAGAATATATATATATATATATATATATATCTTCTAGTATTTTAGGTATTCAAAATTGGGAGATGAATGAATGTCCCAGACGTGACAACACCTGGTTTCCCTCATAAAAACCTATTTCTTTGGCTGTTTGGATCTACTTGACCAATCCTCCTAGCTGGCTCAAGCTCCATCCTGCTAAACGCACTTGTGGCTTTATACTTCATTATTACTATAGTGTATCTTCACTCAAAACTGACGAGCACAGCTTTTAAACATTACAGACTGGACAGAGTATAAACGATATAAAACATTATTAATAAGGGTAAGCACGAGAGTCTGTGGATAAGCGCTGATACAGGCCAACGATACTGAGTTTTGTCCTGTGAAATAACAAGGTGGCGTGACTCTACTCCGCCAGGTACACGGCCACGTCCTGAGCAGGAGTGGCAAAAACCCCACTGAGTTCAGCAGAGACTCTTTCATCCTGCTGGAGAGAGCAGAGAGGACACGAGGTCAGAGGAGGCGCTCTCTTCTTAGGGTTAGTTCATTAAATCATTTACAAAATCACAGAATGTGTTTACCTGAGTCTGTTGGTGGCATTCCAGGTAGTGCTGAATGTTGAGTGAGTGCTCTGACATGCTGGGCGGGCTGATGTTGGTCTTCTCCTGGTTGATGGCGGACGTGCCCACCACGGACTCGCTGTGGCTCCACTGGAAGTAGCAGGAACCTTGAGGAGGACTCTGATCCAGGGACGCGTCAGCCCCCCGCAGGCCCGAGGAGCCGGAGAGAGCCAGGACGTCGCCTCCTGCTGGACTGGAGGCAAAGTGCTGGTCGAACATGCAGCTGCTGTGAGCAACTGCCTGGCTGCACGTCAGCCCTCCCGGCTGAGCGTGGTTCAGTCCGGCGACGCTGCTCGGCCACAGGCCGGCACGTGGGAGTGTTTGGCTTCCGGGAGTTTGGCTGTGGCGTGCCGGCATCAGCTCGTGTCCGTTCTGCACGAGGCCGGCGTGAGGCGGCTTCTGCTGCCGGCTCTGCGGCCACTGCTGAACCTGTTGGCAGTGCGTTTCAAATGAGGGGCTTCCTTGTAGACACGTTGTGGCAAAGGGAACGGGAATAGTAGGTGTGCTGATAGAATTGAAGGCGTTGCAAGGAATCAGGGGGGGCAAAATGTTCATCACGCCGGGCGCAACGTTGTTTGGTTGTCGAGCAGAGCTCTGCAGTAACTGTCCGTTTGGTGCGATTGCAGGAGCCGGAAAACTGTTTTGAGGACACCGCAGAAGCTGGCCGGGCTGCGTCTGTGCGGAAATCCCCAGAGGGCCGCCCATGTGGGTGATAGGTGCCCGCCCACAGGACGGGAAAGGAGCTGAGGCGTCAGGGACAGTGAGCTCTGGGAGCTCTATAGACGGGCTGAAAATGTCCCGGAGCTGCAGCTGTTGAACAGCAGGCAGGTTCGGGTCAGCCTGAGTAATGAGGGGGCCGAGGTGGGAGAGTTTCTGGGTGAATATCTGAGCAGACTCTGCAATCACTGGGCCGTTCATTGTTTCCTGCTGGCGAGCGTAGAGACCGTTCATCGGAGAGTATGTACGATCAGGGCTCGGTGTCTCAAACAACTGCGGCTCGCCGAGTCCGGCCTGGGTGAAGGGGTCCTGCTGGTTATTGTTGGCCGCTGTGAGGCAGCTGGGAGGGCTGGCGTCTCCCTTCTGCTTGAACAAAACAGTATCGATGAAGTCAAAGATATCGTTGGTGAGGATGCTGTCCAGCTCAGCCTTGACGTTGCTCTGCTGATCCCCGTCCTGACTTAATCTCTTCAGGGTATTTTCCCACTCCATCAGCTCCACGTCGCTGACGTCCAGATCCTGCAGAGCCGAGCAAAAGTCGCCGTCTTGAGCCATTTTCTCCAGGTTGTCGATCACAGCCATTATCGACTGTTTGGCCTCCTCCTTCACGACGACAGCGGCGTCGCCCATCGCGGCTGTGTCTCCTCTCTCCTGCCACGCCTCACCGGCCACGCTGACCAGCGCCTGGCTGTCCATGAACACCTGATCCATGGGCAGAGGGGTGTCCGGCACCTGCATGTACACCGATTGATCCTGACTCAGGAAGCAGTCCAGCAAAGAGCCGGGGGTCACGTCCTTCTTCATGTCTTCCACGTTGCTGAACATTGTATTGAACTGAAACTGCGAGACGTCCACGGAGGGGCCGGTGTTATAGAGGACGCCCTCTCCTGTGGTGAAGCTGAAGGGAAGCTGCAGCCTCCTCCGACGCAGATACTCCTCGCCCTCCGCGTTGCTGAAACGGACCAAATAGCACACGTTACATTACTGACTAAAGATCAGAGTCTTATGATTTAGAAACCTGGTCAATCCGCTGTCCTGGATTGTGCCATCTAATCATCATCGTAACCAATCCAGACACACAGTTCAGTTATTAAGGATGGAACACTCACACTAAAGCTCTCTGATATGCGATGATGAACTCAGGTCTTCCTCCTTTGTAGATCAGCTTGGCGTTGGACTTCACCCACACCCAGCCACCCGACTTAGTCAGGAGCCTGAACACAGTCAGACCGGTCTCTCCTGTTTTAATCACTGCGATATGAAGACAACAACAACAACACACTATGATGGTTTATCCAGCAAAGCAGCAATAAATGTGCAACCAGGGCAGGAATTCCACCGACCGGCCCGTGTATCCCTCAATAACAAAAACACAGCTACAGATCGTTGATCCGTATTGTTCATTACCAAACATGTTATTAACTTTGTCTGTACAACAAAGTAGAAAATAACATCAATCTTACAAATATTGATTTGTAAATACCAATGAAATATTTTGAGAAATAAACAGCTGTATTCTCGATGCATAGAAGTACACTCGGCTGCCTGGTGTCCGATTACCTCTTGCATCAAACAAACAATGCGAATGCGCATCAAACACCAAATAATATTCATATTCAATGTTAAAGCCAAGTCAAAATCGCCGACGTACTGCGGATGTGGCTGTCGGCGCAGTACATCATGTCGGCTGCGTGGATGAACTGGTAGCCGGAGCCTTTCATGCACAGCTCGATCTCTGAGTATCCCAGAATAATCTTCCCCCTGGAGGGACACAAAAGATGAACAACATTACGTTTGTTGAACTGGAATTCATTTCAGTCGACAAGCAACAGCTGAACACACAGCGGAAAGGGGAGCGTCTAAAGGTTCTGTTGCACGCTTTATTTAAGATGATACTTTAATTATATTTCACTTAGGTTTGTAAAGAAAGGAAGGATTTGTAGCACCTGCTATCAACGCCCATGGGTGTGAAGTCCAGCTTGTGCTTGGTTTGGAAGAGGAGCATTTTGGCTCTGATCTCCACGATGGTTGGCGGCTGGACGGGTACAGCGATGGCGAAGAGCGCCAGCTGAGGTTTGTTACAGTTCCCGTTGGAAACCTTCTGGCCGTGGACGTACTTCAGCCGCCCCTGGAACTTCAGCGCCTGGTTTGGGTGAAAGAACATCAAATTATTCATAAAGCCTCTCGCCATGAGAGCATTATTTGGCACAGTAGCGCAGGCTCTCAATCAATACGGCAAACACAAGCTACGCTCCTGGCTAGGAGACTCATGCTGCTTCAATGGAAGGAAACATGTCCCCCAACTTCCAACCTATGGATTAGAGATCTTATGCATCAAAAAGTTGTTATGCTACAAGAGGCTGTGCTTGCAACCTTTACACCATTTGGTTCCAGTTGTGGGCCGGGCAGAAAAGATGGACGCCACGGACATTTCAGATGTGCAGAAACAACCCGTCCTCTGTGTTCTTTGTGTGTTTGTTCATCGTTAACACATAATTAGGGCGGGGTTTTGGTAAAATGTATCAATGAGATGCGTTTTCTAATTCCACCTCATGTTTTGACAACAGAACCAGAAACATTGTACTGACGAGGAAGCCGGAGGAGTTGTCCAGGAGGCAGCGGAAGCGACACACAAAGCTCCTCTCCAGGAAGGACGAGTTCTCTGGGGGAAGCTGCTCGGGACTGTACATCACCGTGCTGCCGGCACTCTGCAACACTGAGAACAGCAGGTAGAGATCACCCTTCTTGTCTGGTCCACACACACACAGAGAGGTGGAGGCTGAGCTCATCTTTACTTTTCATTCACAGTTCTTACCGTCTCCGCCCGCGGCAGCAGACGGGGGGTTCAGAGCAAAGTGGAGCTGCTGTCTGAACAAGGACCGGTCATCGGTGTGGATGAGCTCAAACACACTCTGGTGAACCACGTCCGACTGTCGGCAGAGGAGAGAACACAACACGTGGTCAGCAATTCAGCTGCTTTAGACATGAGGTGCTGGTTTGAATAATTCAAATTCCCTCTTACATTTCTTGACTTCCCTGTTCAATCATTGTATCTCATAAAACCTCATCTCACCTGATGAAAGCCCAGGTAGTCCTTGACGGTGGAGGAGACGTAAAACACCGATCCGTCTGACGTGACCACCATCACGAACCCGTTCAACGCCTGCGCGAGGAACAGACAGTCAGTCGACACTCATAAAGCACATGCATACATGTGTGGTATGTTACTGACACACACACACACAGACACACACACACACACACCAATGCATGCATGCATCAGGTATACATGGCAACTGTAACAGGTGCAGAGTCACTCATTGCACACTTTAAAGTTTCTTTTTCATGGCATCTCATTTTAGCTTTTTACTTTAATTCATTGGAATGTCAACTTTTAAGTTATTACTTTTGTGCATTTTGGAAAGTTGCCACACTAATTAAAAAGATGAATGAGATTGTAATCTTTGGATACATGTATTGTTACATTGTAGCTGTGTGTGAAGGGGCAGCGGGGGGGTGCAGGGTTTCATCTCTTCATGCATCAGACAGGAAACAGGCTCCTCTGAGGCTTCCACTAACTAAAGAAAACTACAAAAACTACAGATCTGACTTGCATGTAGTATGTTATGATTTAACTTCCACCCGTTTCAAAAATAATTACAGATTAAATCTCATTCTGTCAAAATGAAATCTGAAATCCTGCTGCCTGTTGATAATCCCAAAATAACTCCACCAGCTGCTGATTCACAAAGGAACCTTTGTGTTTCACAATCACAGCCCGTTGTGTTCATGAGGAGGAACAGAGTGTGACAACGTTGCTGACAGGTGAGCGTCAATAAACGAGGCCGGGGCCCTCGACAAAGTGCTGGTTTTGTTAGGAGCCACAGAGCGTGGCCCGGCTTTGGCAAGAGGCCCCAAGACGAGCGGCCTCACCTGTCAAAACTTCCTCCAGCGCGGAAAGACCTGGATTAGCTCCACACAATGCAGCTAGCGCCCAAATAAACAAAGTCTGCCTGGGCATCTGTGCATCTGCAAGCCTCGGGACGTTGACTTATCCATCAGGCTGTGGGACTTTCTTCTACGTACAGCAGTAACATTCAACGCAACGGTTTAGAGGTGTGTTTACACACTTTCTTGTGTCTATTGTGTGTGCGTGTTTGTGCTCTTGGCCTCTTGTGATCTGTGTGAGAGGTCTGGTGCTGCTCTCTCGTACAGGCATCTGACCTGGCTTCATGACCCCGCTCCTCCTGACCACCGGTTAGCGATAGAGAATAGGCCTTTCTTTCAGGGATGGGGAATTCCGCTTTCTACATTTTAAATGGCATTTAGTTTATGCAACTACTGCAGGAGAATAGTTACCGAAACCAAGAGAACAAGAGAGAAGTAGTGAGTTTAAGCGTGTTGGGGATAGAAACCAAAGCAAAACTCATTATGGTTCTTCATTTTATTGAAATGTATTTAACGCATTTTTATCTAATGCAGTTTTGAGTAGTATTGTAGTTTGTATGTGTGTGCAGGAACTACAGTTGCAGGAACCCGGTTGTCCTGCATGGAAGGACATCAGCTAGCTTCATGAGACGACACTCTGATGGTTGTCAGAAGAGCGTCACACCAAACACGCTGACTAGGATCCATGTCGAAGAGAAAGATGGTTTTCAGAAGCATCTAAAAGTTACAGTATTTGCTGCTTTCTGTTCAAATAAAAGATGAAAGTAACGAGCAGTACGATAAATAATAAACGTATGACAGAAGTTACAAATGTGACCTTTTAGGATACATTTACAAGTAGTGTGTGAATGGGTGCCCCCCCCACACCTGGGCCCAGTGTCTTACCTGGAGCAGCAGGTCCCCCTCAGAGAAGCCAGAGGTGTCCATGCTGTTCCCGTTCTGCCCGTTCACTCCAGAGAACATCAGGCTGCTGCTGGTGTTCATAGTCGCTGCAGAGAAAGGTGACAGAATGGAGAGCAGGGGTCAGCAGAGCTAAAACATCTTTATGATGATTCTGTGTGACAAAGGATTGAAAGCGTTGAAAGGCTCGGGTGGGGGCTAAAAGATGAATAGAAATAGAAAAATGGATCTTCTATTTGACGGATACAAAGCACACAAGCAGGTTTGCTGTTGTAATAAATGGGTTGAAAATGTCACTGTGTACGTAGCACAGTGCATGGGGAACAGATAATGCTTCTTTGAAACACATCACATGGCAGCGGCATCTAATCTTTGCATCTTGCCTGAAGACGGCGCACGTAGAGGGCTCGATTAATAAACAACAGGCTCTACGCACACGGTGAGGCCTCTAAAGAGGCCCGACCACACACGTGACTCTACTCAACCCAGTTCAGAGCTCCTGGGACAGGATTGGCGTTCACCTGAGCCCGTTTAGACAACCGTTTCCAGGTAAGGGATTACAGAGAGCCTTGGCACCGTGTCTGCTTGCTATATTAGGGAGATGAGTGAGCTGCGAACAGAGTTTAGGCAGGAATTGCATCACTTTGTTACTAACACCAAGTACAACAACTCCTCAGCTCCACTTTTTGTCTTGGCTTCATGTTGACGGAGTGACTCAGCCACTGCCGAGAGCCTTCTCACTGCTCACCATTGTTCTCTGGGCAGCCCCACCGTGTCATGTCATGTTTAAAATGCTCCTCAGAACTCACAGGAGTCATGCTATTATTCTGAGAGATGTTGACATGAGGAATCATTTTGCATGTGTGTAGAGTAGAACGTGCTTCAAGCCTGGATACGATGCAAAAAACATGCAGATCTCTGTTCTCTGTGGCTCAGTAGAATAAGCCCTCTATTGACCAGCCGCCACTGGTTAATACATATCTGAACGTAAGATCATGAGTGAGCAGCAGCAGAAGGAAAAAAGCTCTACTCGAGCCAGAAGACAGGTTTTCTCATTGCTGGAGAACTGATCTAGCAGCCTGCATATCTGAACACACACACACACGCACACACACACACACACACACAGACATAACACACACACACACACACACACACACACACACGCGGGCCTCTTGCATCTGCCCCTGGGGTTTTATTTTTGTAAGCGATAGTCGACAAGAGCGCTTCCCTTATCTGGACCGCCACCACAGGAAAATCCAAGGATACGGCCTCTCCCAACCCGTCCGTCCAGCCCTGTCACGCTACTTCTCTTAAGGAGGGAAGCGGTCCCTGAACCCTGAACACTCAAACACTCCCCACCTTTCAGCAAGAACTCACACAGTGTTTGCACAAACACACAGACCCGCACAGCCCGTACAATCACACGACGACGCGCCACACAGAGCTGCAGGTCTGACACACAACGCCATCCACGCATACGACCACTGTCAAAGGAGAAAGGAGAGTCACACATTACTCACACTAAGATAATCATCTTTTTTATTACATGTTTTCTGAAAATGTGTTTAAATATGCAAATGAGGTGTTATCTAATGGTGACTGTTGGTGAATTCAGGAAAAATCTACAGACACAAATAAACAAAGTAGTAAAATGAAGAGATAAATGTGTGTTTTGGATGTTTTCCTCACACTTGTCTGAAAGAAGAAATGTAATGGAAGCAAAGTAACTGACTGGTGCATGAAAAACACTGTTGTTGCCTGCAGTGTCTCGCCCTAAGAGCTTGACCAGAAGTGGAAAAGACATTCCTGAAGTCCGTGGGAGGCAGTGAAGGAAAAAAAAAATAAATCGAACCTACTGTACACACCACCTTCACAGAGCAGGACGGGCTGTATACATAATGTATACATAATGTATTCAGCTCTGTTTGAGATCAGTTAATGGTGTCTGATGGTGTTTCTGTGTGAAAAGACACTGAAGATGTGTTCTCATTCACTGAGCTGGTGGTGGCCTCGCTGTTGACATCTTAACTGATTTACAGCTCAGCCTGGGACATCCTGCATCCATGCAACACTAAATAGATCATTGTAGTGCTGATTAAAGGATTAGTAGATCAACAATTTGTGATATGCATAAATCATTTAAAGTTATTTATCACACAGAAATGCAAAACGTTCTCTTTTCTTTGTTTCATAGAGACCCCCAGGTCTCAGTGGTGGGATTTGAACTTATGAACAACCTTGACGGCAGTAAGTCTTGTCTTTGATATCTGATAACTAAAAAAAAAAGAAACAACTTCACATTGTGAAATGTACAATTTACGGCTCTTGGCTAAAACTGCCCCTGTATCGTACTAAACAGCGATTATACTCTCTCGTACCAAACATTTAACAGATGCCCGAAAAGCTTCTTCCAATACTTTCAAAAAGTGAAATCTGACACCAAGAGGGGGGTCACTTTTCAGCATCAGAACTGTAGCTTCCTGTTTCAGAAGGCAAGCCATTATAGGATCGGTTAAGTGCAGAGCATGCCTTTGATGCAAGAGTCACTCCAGGCAAACATCCCCGTCACTCAGGGAGCGAGGCGGGCTTTAACAGGACTCGACGTCTTTTCATCATGCGGTAATTAAGTGAAATCCAAAGAACTGTGAGGAGCCGAGGACGAGATTATCGAAATGCGATCTCGTCTGATTACTCAGGGAAACAAGTTAAAGCAAAAGGAAAACAAGTCAGAGTGTGAAGCAGTGACGGGGAAGCCTGAAGCTCTGAACAGTGAGAATAAAACACAGACCTCACTAGATGGACTCGTATATTAAGTCTATGAAAAACTAAACTTCATCTTGAAATGCTGTTGAACTACTGAAAGTTGAACTAAAGAAGAAAACAACTACACCGGGTCTCCTTGAAAGTGTTAGCATGTGTTATGGAGTCGGGACACGGTTGAAACTGTGGAGAGAAAAGGGAAATGTTGTCACGGGTTGGAAGTCTGCCAGATCCAGAGAGAGTATAAAGCATGCCGGCAATGCACATAGGGGAATACTATCTTGATTTGAAAACATTTAGTTCCAGCAGATCCTGTACAGAGATCGCTGTTCTCACGCGGATGTGCAGGAAAGGGCGGCGCTCGTAACAAATAACAGCCAATGAGCCGGGTCACAGTCCGTCGGTTCAACCTCCCATTAGCCTCTGGATGAATGTCCCTGTTTACAACAATGACTTTAGGGGAAGGAAACAGCCGCAGCCTTTTTATGATCAGACAAGAATGTCATCGAGGCATGTCAAGGAAAAGAGGGAGAGAGCCGCTTTGGAGGGAAAACAGAGTTTTGCACAGGTTTATTATAGCTACGGATATACTTTGTAATTTAAAAAAAAAACAGCAGGTATGTTAAAAAGGTCAGAATGTTAATTTAAAACATTCAAACTTACTGTGAATGGACCATACGGTTCCCCGATTAGTGGCACAGCAAACATGCCGAGGTTACTCTAAATGAAATAGCATTTTGACCGACTGAGCTTCAACAGTTTGTTTGAATTTTGCATATTCCTTCCCTGCTGTTAGTTAATGTTAATTTAGATTGTATGGACGTAGTCGAGGTTATTTGTTTTGGAGAAGGTGGCCACTTCTTACACATTGGCCCTTTGGATGGTGTCGTTTTAGGCCCCCCAAGAGCTCTCTTGAGTGAACCCTGTAGGTTTTGAAAAGGCTTGTGTGCTGCAGCACAGAGCCCACGAGCAGAGACTGATATCAAACAAACACTGATTCTTTACTATTCAGGACACAATGTGTTTTGCTGGTGGCGGTGGGGGACACTGTGTGCATCTGTTCTTGTAATCAACACACACTCGGCTATTTCGGGCTGTCTGGGCTCCTGTTATCGGCTGGAAAAGTAATGTCGTCGGTTTTAGGACTGAGCACAGACACAGAGGAGAAAACAAAGCAGAATTCAGGTTGCTGCGATAGGCGTGCTGAGATGATTCCTATCAGTGTGCAGGCGATCATCAGAGCTCTGAGGGGAGGAGGCGTAGAAAGGAGGGGAGGAGGTAGAAATACCAACTTTGCCTTCTACAAGATGTCTAAGGTTAGCCAACAGATAGAGAGTCCTTGGATGTTGAAGCTATATGCTAATTACACTAAAGGCTAACTTACACTCCTGGATAGAAATATTTATATTATCAAATTCCTTCCGAACCCTAAAAGATTGTAATCAAGAGCCTTAAATAAATGAAATAATGCGTGTTTCTGATCCCCCAACCAAACTCTGAGTGGGGAAGACGGCCCATAAACAAACACGAGCACTTTTGGAAGACTCTAAATGTCACAGAAAGCCTTGGTGGGCGAGCTCTGCTCCGGAGCCAACATCGAAACCAGGAGAAAAAAAGAAAGAAAGAAGTCTGGGTACGACGAGTGATGCAGCGCTGTGGTTTCTAGAGCTGGAGAGTCGGAGAACAAACCTTCCAGAGAATGGAAAAAGGGGGGAAAAAAATGAAAACATGATTAAATCTGTCTCCCAGCGGTTGCTTGCATTCTCACGACATACTGAAAGGCGAGTCATGAATCCGGAGCCAAAAGGCGACTTCTGTCAGCCCAGAGAGACGTCCTCCTCACACACGTTATGATACCGAGTTGACAGGTGAATCACGTCCAGGTTTTAAGTGCACGCATCAGTAGAACGTCTTTGAGCCCACTGGGATTCAGCAACAAACAAGACCGGGCTTCTACCGCTCACATACTCTGCTACGAGTTGCAGACCTTCTCCAGGACTTAAAGATGTCGTCCTCACCCCTTTCTTCCTTCTGTTACACTTGTGTCATGTGGACGGGTTTGTTCGTACATGGTTCAGATATCCCCAATACCAAATTACATCAAATTATAGCACATGATACAGGGTTACCACATCAACTGTGATTGCTAACAGGCCCTGGATGTTTTCAATGGAACTTGGAGGGCAAATACACATTTTTCAGCAGCAGCGAGCCACAAGCCTTTCAAAATATCCAGCGCTGCCTCATAAAGTCACGCTATGAGGCCGAACAGTCCAGTCTTCTTGAAAAACAGAAGAAAAAAGATCTGCCATTCAAGGCAGCCATA